CTATACTCCAGCAACTACCACTACCTTCAGGAATGGGAGGTAAAAATAAAAAGGTAGGACAAACTTAGATCAACACAAAATTCAGCAGAGCAAGAGTTAAGTGTCTCCACTTGTACACAATCTTAGACACACATACATACCTGTGCCACCAGTCACAAGTAAATTCCATTCATCAGGGGCAAACAAGAATAATCATTCTAAAATGATTCAAACCCTTTGGAAAACAACAGACCACTCCAATGAAATGAAAATGAAGACCTTCCACTCCAATTATTCAACAACAAAAAAAAATGCAGTACCTTGCAGAGCGGAAACATTTCACCACTTCATCCAATATTCTGTTATTGCGTAGCTCTGGTTCTGTCACAGGCTGTGGATTTAGTTGGGAGGAAGAGAACAACAATTACAATTGAGGCTCTAGAAGTTGGCAGCATTTCAAAAAAATGTGGAAGCAAGCAAACAAGCAACACTAAGAGGACTCTTGGGTCAAATGTGCATTGCAATACGGAATGATGTGCATTGGGGGCTATAACATTCCTATGCATTGGACCACTTGAGTATGGGCTAGCTCCACACTGATTTTTATTATTATTACAAACAGGCAAACCAGATACTGGACATCTGGCTCCCTACAGAAACATTAAAAATCTTTCTGCTTCACGGTGTCAACTGTGCTTCTCTTGGATGTTCCTCTCATGGCAGTCAACAGGTTGTTGTTTCAGATCCCACTCCAACATTTGAGCAGAGAAATCTAGGCTGACACTCCCTTATCACATCTTTGAGATAAAACATTACATCAAGGCTCTCTTCATCCTGTTGAATGCACATAAAAAATGCATGGCACTATGTCAAAGTGCAGGGAGTTATCTCTGGTCATAATTAACGCATTGCCTTTTTTAGGATCTTACTACGCACAGATGGGCTGCCATCTTTCCTATAACTGTGACTATGCTTCAGGAGTACTCCACTGGCTGTAAAGTGCTTTGGAATTTCCTGAGGTCATGACAGACACAATATAACTGCAAGTCTATCTTTCTGAAACTGATCGGAGTCTAAATGGCCATTAACCCATGGGCGACATGGTGGCTCAGCGGTTAGCAAGGCTGCCTAACAGCGCCAGGCACATGGGTTCAATTCCAGCCTTTGGTGACTACCTGTGTGGCGTTTGCATGTTCTCCCCATGGCTGTGTGGGTTTCTTCCGGGTGGTCCGGTTTCCTCCCACAGTCCAACGATGTGCAGGTTAGGTGGATTGGCCATGCTAAATTACCCATAATGTCCAGGCATGTGCAAGATAGGGGATTAGCTATGGGAAACGTGGGGTTACAGGGATGAGGTGGGTCTGGGAGGGATGCTCTTTGGAGTCATATGGTCATGATGGGCTGAATGGCCTGCTTCCACACTGTAGGGATTCTATGATATTTAACCCATCTGTGTTACTGTTATTGGAGCAAGAGAACAGTTTCTGAACAACTCAAACTTTTCTTCCTGGAGAGCAGAACCAATAAGATAGAAACATCGGGCCCTACTGTTGAGTTCTATGATCAGGGATGTCGTTTGTCAGGATTCACTGTGCAGATTAGGTACCCCAAAATAAGGAAAGTAAAGGAAAAAGAAACTCTGGGCGAACATCTCCACTAGCCTGAAAAACGTCTGGTTTCCCCGACACAGGGTCTGTTTACGTTGTGAGGAGAAGCTGCACAAGAGCTTCTCTTCAATTTTAGAAGAGAAGTGATTTTCCACAGATCACAACATCTTGCCTCCCAAACCACAAACAAACATGAAAGCAGAGCAAAGTCTCATACATGTGAAATAGAAGCAGAACCAGACCATTCGGCCTCTCGAGCCTGCTCTGCCATTCAATAAGATCTTGGCTAATCAGTTTTGAATTCCACTGTTGCAGCTGGCCATGTCTGACTGAGACAGTGGATGCTTGTTGGTGTTTTTAAATTGACACAAATGTTCAGTTGCTGATGCGGCATTTCGTATAGCTCAAATCATGGCCTTCATAGCCAGACAACAAAATGCCTCTGAGTCATAGTAAGATGGGACGAGAATACGGACAGTAAGACTCCGATAAGGCAGCTCAGATGGAGACTGTCTGATTTGAAATTTCCTATTTTTACATAAGATAGAAAGGGAAAGCTTGACCCACTTTAGATGAGGCCTTTTAAATAATTATGATTAGAGTTATATATTAGACACATATTCATACAATATTTGTAGTTTAAATGTATTAGACATTGGGAAATTTAGTTAGATTTCTGTAGAAATGGACACAAAGACTACTTTCAACAAACATGGTTGGAGAATCTTGATAAGGGTACCAGGTAGCAGCTGGCAAATGTCCGATATGGGGACTTGACAGTCAGTGTTGGGAATGGTCAGTAAGATGTATTGCAAGAGCCCAAGGACAGGTGATAGACAGTTTGGCAAGCATCACGAGATGATGGGAGGACTAAGGTAGACCATGAAGTTGTCCATCATTGATTGTGTATTTGCAGGATTGGACGTGTAGATCAAAGGAGATGTGGCAAGCACTGATGTCAACGTTGCCTGTAACCATTGTAACATGGTAAGTATAAATACCCTGTATTTTACTGGGAAAGGTAGAGTGTTCTAGAGACCTCTCCCAAGCTGTGTAGGTATAAAAATTGATTTGTGCCAGTGAACTCAGGACTTTGACCCCTCTTTAAAATCTCTTTTCAACATCTACATTCCCAACCATCCCAGATGACCTGCGATTCCCCAGCCTCACAATCAATGAAACAAAAAAAAGACAAAGTATGCGATGTGGGAAATCAGAAACAAAAGTAGAAATTACTGCAAAAACTCAGCAGGTCTGGCAGCATCTGTGGAGACAAAGCAGAGTAAACATTCCGGGTCCAGTGACCCTGGGTCTATCCACCTCTGCCTTAAAGTTATTCAATGATCCTCCTCCACCACTTTGAGACAGCAAACTCCAGAGTTACACAACTGGGGTGGGAGAAAAAAAATCTCATCTCTGTCTTCAAAAGGGTGAACCCTATTTTGAAACTGGACCTCCTAGTTCTGACTCACGAAGGAGCATTCTTTCTGCATCTAGCCTGTCAACACCACTCAGGATCTTATAAACTCCAATCAAGACACCCTTCACTCTTCAAAACTCCAATGGAAACAAGCCCAACCTGTCCAACCTATCCTCCTAAGACAACTGTCACATTCCTGGTATCAATCTAGGAAACACCTCTGAACCACCTCCGGTGCAATAACATTCTTCCTTCAATAAGGAAACCAAAGCCACACACAGTATTCGAGATGTGGTCTCACCAATGCTCTGCATAACTGAAGCAAAACATCCTTACTTTTATGTTCAATTCCCCTTGCAATAAAGGAGAGTATCCTATTAGCCTTTGGGCTTTACTTGCATAGTATCCTTTTGTGACCCATGCACCAAATCCCTCTGCATCTCAGATTTCTGCAGTTGTTCGCCATCTATGCTTTTTTTTGTTCTTCCAGTTAAAAGTCAATAACTTTACACTTTGCCACACTTGCTTCCATCCGCCAGACTTTTGGCCAATCATTCAACCTATCTAATGTCCTAATGTCTTCTTCATGACACACTTCTCTGCCTATCTTGGCACCACCTGCAAATTTGACACAACCCCTTCACTCCTACAGTCTCAGTTATTGACACAAATTGTAAAACACTGAGGCCCCAGCATTTATTTATTTACTTACGCGCACGCGCGCACAAGCTTGTATTTTCTGCAATAATCTGTGATGAAACACCTTGTTGAATGTCCTGTGGAAATCCAGGAATGAACTGCAGCAAGATAAATGACAATTTAAATGCTTTACTTGGTTAAGGGGTAATTTGATCAATGTCTTCAAGACATTAACAGGAAAAGACAGGGTAGATAAACTGTTTCCACGGGTTGGGGATTCTAGAACTGGTGTTGTCAGATCTTTAATATACACCTGAACAGGGTGGATACATTCTCAAATGGAACACTCCCAAAGGACAGTGCATGTGACAATGCAGCACTCCTTCCACATTGCACAATAATACAACGTTTTAAAAATTAGTGCATGGGAGGTGCCCTGCAAATATTGCCACATACTCAAAAACATTCAGCCCTCTTTTCTAATAGTATCAATTACCAAAAGAAAGCACCGCAAAGAATGCACTAATGAGTACACAATTTACAATAATCCCAAAGTAACATATTGGCCAAATGTCTCACAACCCAGAGTGTGGGCTCTCATCTTCTCATTTCCTATCTCCCTCACTTTGATTGACTTTTGTTTTGTGCACTTTACAATTTCGCTCAGTTCTCACTCTCAATTTCATGTCCCTACATTTTCTTATTATGTATCTCATTGTCCTGAAATTCTTGCTTTTCATCTTTCTCTGTATCTTCCATTCACATTCTAGCTTAATTCCTTCTCCTCCTCAGTTTTGTTCATGGCTGAAATGCCCTTGGACAGATAATTGTAAAAAAAACTTATTTAAAAAGATGTCTTTTATAGGCAGAGGTATTTCTCTTTGAAGCCAGCAATTTCACACTTCTCTGAAGGCTTATTTTGTCGTTACATATCCTACGCAAGTAGAAGCTTCATTTAATTTAAAGAGGAGGACTGGATCAGAATCTTGAACACGCTAATCCGACCAAGGGTATTTTCAATTGACAAAGACTTCAATGTCCTTAGTAGTCACATCTGTAACGTAAACGAGGTCATCACCTGCCCAGACACACAGGGGCCATGCTCACTAAATTGGAAAAATATTAAGTTCAAATTTTATTGAAAGGTCCCCACGTATCAATTTATTTCCTCATTCCATATCCCAGATTGACTTCAGACCTGCAAACGTTTTACTTACCACACAACAGATTGGACACTGGGTTTTGTACGATAAGAATTTCCGCACACAAAGGGAGCAATCTAGAAAATAGGACAAATAAAAAACATAATTATGGCACCTCAACTACCTTTTCCATTCACAAGCCCTCAGAAGAGGCAACAGAAATTGATCAATTGAGGAAAATATGAAGAAATGCTTCAATTTTCTGAAAGTGCTCACAAATAGGAATAATCAATCCATGGGATGTTTTGCTTAGCATAATAGAGCTGTGAAGGCAGGCACAACCACGTGGCAGTTTGTTCAAGCATCATTCCCCTGGTACACTTCAGAAATTCATGATACACCATTGAAAAATCAGAGTGTCCTGTGGAGAAAGTGTAATGAATTTGACCACATAGCTACTTTCTTCCATAACTTCAGTTTTCAAACCAAATAGATTTCACAATATGTAGTAAATTAACTCTTCACATGCCTTCTGGATCAAACAAACTTGGACAGCACTGACAGTGTACTAACAGAATTATGAACAAGCAGTTAGAATGAATGAAAAGCACAGAATTACGTCGTAGAATCCATAGGATGGTCTATTCAGAGAGTTGATGGGACCAAATCTTTTTAGCATCCCATTCTATCATCATTCACATACAGGCATCTGCTGGCTGTTATATGGGGGCATTTAAACATGGCTGTTACAATGTAAACTGAATTAACTCATCTCCCATTGTATTGATCCAGGGTTAGACAATACTATTTTATGCTTTGTAACTTTCAATGCAGTACATGGATCACTCATTTACTGCTATCAGTTATGAAAAATGTTGATTACATTACAAAGTATCAGAGGAATATTGTGATTTTTTGGAGTTTAAGATCATGTGATTATAGCCATGTTTTTCTGCAAACTGTAGAAGTGTTTCTATTATGATCTCACATTCATTCACCCTAAATTTGAGTAATAGATTCATACAAGCATGGAAACAGACCCTTCAGTCCAACTTGTCTGTGCTGACCAGGCATCCCAATCTGACCTAGTCCCATTTGCCAGCATTTGGCCCATATCTGTCTAAACACTTCCTATTCATATACCCATCTGGATACCTTTTAAATGTTGCAATTGTACCAGCCTCCACCACTTCCTCTCGCAGCTCATTCCATACACGCACCACCCTCTGTGTGAAAAGGTTACCGCTCAGATCCTTTTTGAATCTTTCGCCTCTCACCTAAACCTACGCCCTCTAGTTTTGGGCACCCCCACCCTAGGAAAAAGGCCTTGGTTATCCACCCTATCCATGCCCCTCATGATTTTATAAACCTCCATAAGGTCACTTTCTCCTTCTACTTCTCTATTGTGATAGCCCAGGATGCACTTATAGATAAAAAAGATATTCAAGGTAGACAAGTTGATGCATCTTGATAATAGAATTGATTGCGTATATCACAACATATTACTTAGAATCACTGGCATCAGGAAGAATTTGAAATGCTGGATTAGGAATGGACTCCAATGTTGCAGGAAAAAAACTTTGTAGCTAATGGGCATTGTTCAAGAACAAAGAACAAAGAACAAAACAACACAGGAACAGGCCTTCCAAGCCCACACCGATACATTTGCCTTTCCGTATTAAAACTGTCTTCACTTACAGGATCCATATCCCTCTATTCCCTTCCTATTCATGTATTCATCCAGGTGCTTCTTAAATGCTGCTATTGAGTCTGCTTCCACCACCTCCTCTGGCAACGCATTCCAGACACTCGTCAACCTTTGTGCAAAAAACATGTCTTGCACATCTCTTTCAAACATCCCCACCCACCCCCACCTCGCACCTTGAACCTTTGTCCCTTAGTAAATTGACTCCTGCACCCTGGGAAAAAGCCTAATACTTTCCACTTTATCCATGTCACTCGCAGTCTTAAAAACTTCTTTAGGTTGCCCTGCAACCTCCTGCGTTCCAGTAAAAACAAACCCAGTCTATCCAACCTTTCTTCATAGCTAAAATCCCCCATACCAGGCAACATCCTTGTGAACTTTTTTCTGTATCCTCTCCAATGCATCCACATCTTTCTGGTAGTGTGATGACCAGAACTGTACGCAATATTCTAAGTTTGGCCTAACTAAAGTTCTTTAAAACTGCAGCATAACTTGTCCATCCTTATACTCAATTACCCTTCAAAGGCAAGCATGCCATAAGCCTTTTTTACTACCTTATCCACATACACTGCCACCTTTTGTGATCAGTGGACCTGCACACCCAGATCCCTCTGCATATCAATACTCCTAAGGATTCTGCCATTCATTATATAATTGCCACCTGTACTTGACCTTCCAAAATGCATCACTTCACACTTGTCCGGATTAAACTCCATCTGCCATTTTTCTGCCCATGCTTCCAGCTGATCTCTATCCTGCTGTATCCTCTGACAATCCTCCTCACTGTCCGCAACTTGACCTATCTTTGCATCGTCCGTAAACTTAATAATTAGACCAGCTATGTTTCCCTCCAACTCATTTATGTAGATCACAAACAGCAGGGGTCCTAGCACTGATCCCTGTAGAACATCACTAGTCACAGCCCTCTATTCTGAAAAGCATTCTTCCAACGCTACCCTCAGTTTCTTTGACTAAGCCCGTTCTGAATCCACCTTGCCAGCTCACCTGATACCATGTGACTTCACCTTTTGTACCAGTCCGCCATGAGGAACCTTGCCAAAGGCTTTACTGAAGTCCATGTAGACAAAAATCAACCGCTTTTCTCTCAATCATCTTCATCACCTCCTCAAAATACTTGATCAAGCTACTGAGACATGACCTCCGCCGTACAAAACCATGCTGTCTATCGCTAGTAAGTTCACTTGCTTCTAAATGTGTATAGATCTTGTCCCTGAGAATCTTTTCCAATAATTTCCCTACCACCAACGTGTGACTCACAGGCCTGTAATTTCCAGTATTATCCCTGCTATCCTTTTAAACCATGGGTCATCATTGGCTATTCTCCAGTCCTCTGGGACTTTACCTGTGGCCAGAGGATACAAAGATGTCTGTCAATGCTCCAGCAATTTCTCCTCTTGCCTCCCTCAATATTCTGGGATAGATCCCATCAGGACCTGGGGATTTATCTACCTTAGTACTTATTAAGACGCACAACGCCTCTTCCTTTTTAATAGCAACATGGCTTAGAAACTCGACACTCCCTTCCCAGAGATCATCCTCCACTAATTCCTTCTCTTTGGTGAATACCAACACAAAGTATTCGTTCAGGATTTCACCTACCTCTTCTGGCTCCACATAAAGATTCCCTCCTTTGTCCTCGAGTGGGCCAACCCCTTGCCCTGGCCACCCTCTTGCTTTTTATATATGTATAAAGCCTCTGGATTCTCCTTAATCCTGTTTGCCAACAACTACTCACGACTGTTTTCAGGCCTTCTAATTCCTTATTTGAGTTCTTTCCTACTTCCCTTATATACTTCAAGGACTTCATCAGTTCCCATCCTCCTAAACCTTACGTATGCTTCCTTTTTCTTTCTAACCAAGGTCATAACATCCCTGGTCATCCAAGGTTCACGTAACTTGCCATACCTATCCTTCGTTCTCACAGGAAAGGGCCTCTCCTGAACTCTAATCAACCGCTGTTTGAAATTCTCCCACATGTCCAAAGTAGATTTACTCAAACAGCCGCCTCCAAACCAAATTCTCCAGTTCCTGCCTAATACTGATGTAATATGCTTTCCCCCATGGACAGTTGTTATCCTATCCATGAGTATTTTAAAACTCACTGTACTTTGATTCCCCCACTGAAACTTCCCTCACCTGCCAGGCTCATTTCCAAAAACCAGGTCCAATATAACCCCCCTTCCCTGGCTGGACTGTTTACATATTGCGTCAGGAATCCCTCCTGAATGGTCCTCAAGAAATCCTGCACCATCCAAGCCCCATAGAACATGATGAGTCCCAGTCATATAGGGGAAATTAAAATCACCCACCACAACAACCCTGCTGTTTTTACATCTTTCCAGAATCTGTCTGCATATTCTCTCCTGTATCTCCGGCTGCCTGCTGGGAGGCCTGTAGCGTACCCCCAAGCATTGAGATTTCACCTTTCCTATTCCTGAGTTCTACACATATTGCCTCACTGCATGAATCCTCCGATGTAATCTCCCTCAATACAGCTGTGAGATACTCTTTTACCAGAAATGCAACTCTCCCACCCTTTTTACCTCCCTTTCTATTACACCTGAGACATCTAAGTCCTGGGATTTTCAGCTGTCAGTCCTGTCCTTCTTTCAACCAACCTGGAGACAGGTCATTAGCGGTCCCCAGTACACTTCACAGTCTTTCTTAAGAATGTGGGCTGTGACTTTGAAGTAATACAAGCAATTCTGCAGATGACACCAAAAAACGTGCAAGAGTTAAGATAGTAGAGGACGGCTATCAAATATGTAAGATTTAGATGCGGCAAGCAACAAGTCCACAAAATGAAAAACTGTGCTTAATTTAAATAAATGCAGCATCACGTGTGTTGTTAAGTTGAACACAGAATACCATTTGCCAGGAACAAAACTGAAGGGCACTGAGAGAAAATAACATTAGGCTACCATGTACAGATCACCAAAGGGTTTTTTTTTTAAACACTTGACAACTTTTATTAACTTACACCATCAGCAGCTGTGCCATATACAGTTTGCCCACTTGATAAAAAGTTTTGCTGCAAGTTTTATTCCCCATTCCCCAGCAGATTTATCTTCACCTTTCAATTTATAAACTCAAATTCACAATCAAAATTAACAACCCATGTAAAAGACAATACCAAAAACCTGACTCAATTCACAAAAAAGGTAGACAGTCACACATTGTGAAAAAACATTAATTGTAGACAAGGTGTTAGAAATAGAGGGACAATGGTTTCCAAGTGGTGGATCTTTTAGCTGCATTCTCCCAGGTATGCTTATCAAACAGGTACTCAACCATGTCATCCTGGGGAGCTCCCATACGGACCAGGTTGATGACAAAATCACCAAGCTTCTTGATAGCCTGGACCTGCTCATCCAAGTCGTGAGCTTCCAGGGAGTCACAAAGGTCGACCTT